AACACTGTATGAATTCCTAAATTTTGCCTCTGTGTAATTAATTTGATCTTCAGTCATGTCTCTTCTGTTTTGTTTTGTTTTTTTCTGGTTCTGAATTACTTATTAGATTTGTTTTTGTTGTTGTTGCTGTTGTTGTTTTGACTCAGAGTCTCACTTTGTTGCCTAGGCTGGAGTGCAGTGGCATGCTCACAGCCATTGCAGCCTCTACCAGCTAGGCTAGGGCGATCCTTCCACCTCAGCCTTCCAAGTAGCTGGAACTACAGGCACAAGCCACCATGCCCAGCTAATTTTTCTTGATTTATTGTCAAGACAAGATCTTGCCAAGTTGTCCAGGTTGGTCTCAAACCCCTGGGCTAAGGCAATCTTCTCACCTTGGTCTCCCAAAGTGCTGGGGTAACAGGTGTGAGCCACCACGACTGGCCTACTTGTTAGATTTGTAACAATATTGTTATGATGTTTCATGGGTTGTTTCCTCTGCTCTGCAGTTTTACATTTTATTCTGCTGCTTTATCATCTGATCCCTATACTCTCAACATTAGTAACTTGATATTCTTTTTAAGATCTTCCATTGTGCAAAATGCAGGGAACATGCTCTGTTCCTCTGGTTGTATTTTGCCCAGATGTGTATTCCTTTCTTACATAAAAAAAAAAAAAAGAAAGGAAGGAAGGAAGGAAGGAAGAAAGAAAGAAAGAAAGAAAGAAAGAAAGAAAGAAAGAAAGAAAGAAAGAAAGAAAAAGAAAAATACTGGAGAGAGGACACAAGATTCAGAATTATGTGAACAGTATAATCCTCTTATTTTATTTTAATCTTTTATTTAAATAAAAAAATAACTCACAGAAGAAAATCATGCTGTATTAGCATAATTATTTTTAAGTTGCCATGGCTTTTGTTCACCCCCAAGTCATTCAAGACTACTTTGGACAGCTCTGACATCTATACTTTTTAAGAGGACTTTTAAAAGGATAATTGAAAACCAACTTGAAACATATGCTAAACTTAGGAAAACACTGAGTAGAACCATCATTTTCCCTGTTGGGAACTGAGGTGAACCTTCTCACTTATCCATCTCTTCTCAGAAGTCCAATTTGAATGAAAATATCTACTTTCCATTAAAACTAAATTACAAATTTTAAGTTTTTATTACTAAGGAGAAAAGAGAGAAGAAAAATGTTTGGGCATAAGGTAGAATATGTATATGGTTAGAAAATTCAAACCTTTTAAAAAAGTATAAATCAAGTAAAAACCTCCTTCTTTGTGCACTTTGCAATTCTTTATGACACTTGCAATTGCTTCCAGAAAAGAGAAATTATACACAAATCAGCAAATATAAAACTATATCCTACATTTGCACATAATATATAATATATGCTGTATATATTCAACTACATGCCCTTTTTGTGTTTAGAAAAAAAGAGATCATAGTATATGAACTACCTCATACTTATCTAACAATCTCCAAGAGAAGACTATTTCTTTTTTTTTGGTCGGGGGGCGGGCAGTCAGAGTCACTTTGTTGCCCAGGCTGGAGGGCAGTTGGCATGATCATGGCTCCTGCAGCCTTGACCTGCTGGCCTCAGGCAATCCTTCTGCCTCAGGCTTCCAAGTAGCTGGGACTACAGGTGTGTGCCACCATGCCCAGCTAGTTTTTTTAATTTATTGTAGAGACGAAGTCTCACCATGTTCCTTAGGCTGGTCTCAAACACTTGGGCTCAGGCAATCCTCTTACCTTTTACTTCCAAAGTGCTGGGATTACAGGTGTAAACTGCCACACCTGACTCCATGTCCTTTTAAATGACTGTGTATTGTTACAATGTATGGATGCTTTGTTTTATATTTAACCAGTCTCCTTTCCAGTTCTACCACAAGAGTAGCAAAGAAATAAAAAAGTAAACCTCAGATACTATTCCAATACTGCTTCATCTTGCAGAGCTGAACAAGCTCTCTGATAGAATATGAGGATTTGAGAATGGAGTTCCCTACTAACAATTTTCCACACAATAAATAAAATGTTTTGTGTTTATTGCTATGTATTTGTGGGGCTTTTCTATAGCAATGGTGTTTGCTGATTAGGGATGTGATTTTTGGATAATTGTGATGAAATCTTGCCTGGGGAAATAAGGTTGGATGACTCTGTGAGAACCTTACAACTCTGTGTTTCTGAGTTTAGAAACATTAAGCTTTGGAACTGCATCTTAAACAAACATCTCAGCAGCGTTGTATAAAGCTATTTAGAACATTATCTTGTGGATGGTGTTCTATATTCACTTAAGTTTATGAAATGATGCACCTAATATTTCCTTTATGTAGTTATAGCATGCATCCATGTATCATAGTGTTTGTTTGGAAAAGTTTTGCAGTGAATAAACTTGTTGAACATTATTGAGCCCAAAGTTTTCAAAACTTATTCTATCACAGGACTCTTTCTCTTCTATTGCTTATTAGTATTTCACAATACAAAATGTTGCTTCAGAGTATCTTAACTATATCTGTCCCTAGAGAATCTATTTTTTAAAACATTCTATTCAGGGGTCCAATAAAGGACCAGATAGTAAATATTTAAGGCTTTTCAGGTCAAACAGTTTCTATCACAAATTCAGCTTTTCTATATAGCACAAAGGCAGCCATAGGTAATAGTTGGCCCAGGCACAATGGTGTGTACCTGTAGCCCCAGCAACTTAGGGGGCTGAGGCGGGAGGATCACTTGAACCCCGGAATTTGAGTTTCAGTGACCTATAATTACACTGCTACCCTCCAACCTGGGTTACAGAGATCCCATCTCTAAAATAAGTTAAAAATTAGCTGTGCATGGTGGTGGTGCCTGTAGTCCTAGCTACTCAGGAGGCTGAGGTGAGAGGATTGCTTGAGCCTAGAAGTTTGAGGCTGCAATGAACTCTGATCCTGCCACTGTACTTTAGCCTGGGTGACAGACCAAGACCCAATCTCCTGATCTTAAAAAAAAAAAAAAGGCTGGACTCAGTGGCTCAGCCTGTAATTCCAGCACTTTGGGAGACCGAGGCTATTGGATTGCCTGAGCCTGCAGGTTTGAGACCAACCCGGGCAACTTGGCGAGACCTCGTCTCTACAATAAATCAAAAATTAGCCAGGCGTGGTAGTGCACACCTGTAGTTCCATCTACTTGGAAGGCTGGGGCAGAAGGATTGCCAGAGCACAGCAGGTCAACACTGGGGTGGCCGTGAACGTGCCACTGCCCTCTAGCCTGGGCGACAGAGTGAGACTCCAACTCAAAAAAACCCAAAGACAATAGATGAACAAATGAACAGGGCTATATTCCAGTAAAACTTTAATTATGGATACTAAAATTTGAATTTTATGTAGTTTTTACATCACAAGATATTATTACTTTTCCCCCTCAACAATTTAAAAATATAACAATCAGCTGGGCTCAATGGCTCAAGCCAGTAATCCCAGCACTTTGGGAGACCAAGGTGAGGGGATTGCCTGAGCCCACAGGTTCAAGAACAGCCTGGGAAACTTGGCAAGACTTCATCTCGATAACAAATAAATAAAATATTTAGCCAGGCATGGTAGCATGTGCCTGTAGTTCCAGCTACTTGGAAGACTGAAGTGGAAGGATCACCTGAGCCCAGCAGGTCAACACTGGGGTGGCCGTGAGCACTCCACTGCACTCCAGTCTGGGCAGTGGAGTGAGAATCCAACTCAAAAAAATAAAAATATAGTAATCATTCTTGGCTTGTGAGCTTTACAAAAACAGGTGGGCCAGATTTGAACATCATTAGATGTCCTTTGATTTAGTGGATAATAATTCAGGATAAGAAATAAATGCTTTATTCAGCCAGATTGTGCAATACTTTTTAAATTTTCAAGAAGCTGTAGAAGTTTAGTATATTTTTATATTAAACATAAATAATATTAAAACTTCATCTACTCTGTAAGAGGCATTTAAGTTACCCTTCAATTTAACTCCTAAATATTGTGACAGTTTAATATCACTACTACTCTGCTTATTATACTTGTATAAAGGCTAAGCTCAATAAAGATTTATTGAATAAATATGGGTGAATACCTCCATGTTTTAAAAAAAGAGTAGATTAGAAACTGTCTCTACATGATTATTTATTCACTACTAAATCTTAAAGAAAAAGCATGTAATGATGTTTTCCAAAGGTCAGTGCACAGAATTTGAATTATAAAATGAATGCAAAAGTAGACTATACCTTTAGTGAAGAATTCTTTTTTTTTTTTTTTTTTTTTGGAGTCAGGGATACATGTGAAGATTTGCTACAAAGGTTTATTGCATGATGGCAAGGTTTGGGCTTATGATGAGCTTGCCCCCTCTGTGGCCAGCAGGGTACACAACGGATGATTTTGCATCCCTTATTCCCCCTCCCTCCTCCCTCCTTGAGTAGTGTCCAGTGTCTGTTGCTCCCATCCTAGTGTCCGTGTATGCCCAGTGGTTAGTACTCACCTACAAGTGAGCACATACAGTGTTCACTTATAATTCGCTTAGAATGATGGCTTCCAGCTGCATCCACGTGGCTGCTAAGGACATGATTGTGTTATTTTTATGGCTGCATAGTGTTTTATAGTGTATGTGAACCACATTTTCTTTATCCAACCCATCACTGATGGGCACCTGGTTTGGTTCCATGTTTTTGCTGTTGTGACTAGTGCTGCAGTAAACATATGAGTGCAGGTGTCTTTTGGGTAGAACGATTTATGCACCTTTGGGTATATATCCAGAAGTGGGGATGCCTAGTCAAATAATAAATCTATTTTTAGTTCTTTGCGAAATCTCCAAACTGCTTTCCATAGGGGTTGAACTAGCTTACACTCCCATATGATCTGAAAGTTTGTTAGCTACAGAATTGACCATCAACAACATTAGAGCATTCCATATATTGAATTCCTTCTGAAGGAAGCTGGTTATCTTTTGCCTTCATTTAATGCTTGTCACACCTCTAGTTTTGGTCTCTATTTAATCCATGTCCTTCTCTGATGACTTCTTGGTTTTCCCTAGGTTCATTCCGGAACCCTGGTCAGCCTGCAGTACCACGTGTGGGCCAGGCATTCAGGTCCGGGAGGTGAAGTGCCGTGTGCTGCTCACGTTCACACAGACAGAGACCGAGCTGCCCGAGGAAGAGTGTGAAGGCCCTAAGCTGCCCACGGAGCGGCCCTGCCTTCTTGAAGCCTGTGATGAGAGCCCAGTCTCCCGAGAGCTGGATGTTCCTTTCCATGAGGACAGCGACATGACTTACGACTGGGAGTATGCTGGATTTACCCCTTGCACAGCAACATGTTTGGGAGGTATTTGAACCTTTTCTTAAGGGACAGTCATGGAGTGTGAAATTACTAAGTTGGGTAACAAATACGCAAATTGGCCAAAGTCTAAAGGAAATGAAGTCATTCAAGTAACTGAAAATGATGCTTTTCTTTCTTTTATGGTCTGTGGTATTTATTTTAGAAAGGTAAAGGATAATGGGATAATGGGACCACATCCTAACCAAAAAAAAAAAAGCCAAGTATGTTCCTTTGGCCTAAGAATCTAAATAACTAAGCTGGGGTGAGGGGTCTCTGGTTAATATGGAATAAATGACAAATGCAGAATGGATAAATTAAGACCATCTTGTACATAATTCAGTCTTGTAGATTGAAGTAGCCTGAAACTGCTGTATCTGATGCAAGCATAGGCCAGAGTTCATCCTCAGAAAATATTTAGGTTCATATCTGCACATTGGGCGAACAAAAAGTACATGACACATTAATCACCATGATTTATGTTTATAAATTCATTTTCATGTGTGGAGTGATATACATTGCCAGGACACCCTGTTGGGTTTAGAAAGTGCTTATATAGCCAGGTGACCCTCTAGGGTGAGAAGTTGGCTATTTGATTATTTATGTGTTCTAGAATCCAAAAGGGACTGGATGAGTAGGGAGCAGGAATCCAAAAGGGACTGGATGAGTAGGGAGCACTCTCAAAGGCTCTGTTGAAAGTAAAAAGACAGAAATAACCAATAGGAATGTGGTATCTTTTACTAGCATGAAGGAGACTCAGTCTGACCAGGAATTCAGAGTCCCTGTCACGGTGTCTTCTAACTCCCGATTTTGCAACCCAGTCAGCTTCTGTGCAATAGGCTTGGTGTCTTCACATGCCTTACTGTCAGTTTCAGTCGATGGTGGGAAAAACACAGGTAGCTGCTGCCTGTAGCTGTTGCCTTGAGAGCATGCACCACTCCTCCTGGTGGTGGTGAGCCTGTTATTTGGAACTCCCATTTCTTGGAATCTTGTTGCAGAGCTCATGGCCCAGCTATTGTGCCTGAACCCCTCATTTTTTCCCCTTAGGCTTTAAGCCTGAATTTGTTCTTGAACTTGAATTCTCAATCCTTGTCATTCAGTCTCCATGACTTGATTTTATCTGTCTTTCCTGTCTAATTCAACCTCTAAACTTGCCTATCCTTGACTCCTGTTCTCTAACATTGTCAGCCTGACAATAAACCCAGCTAAAGTGGTTATGTGCCTGACCCTCAGGCTACCCCTAAGCGACTCTCTTGCATACAGAATTATGCGTGCAGAATTTAGGAAAAGAACCTTTAGCTGCCTCCAGATTCTCTTTCCTTCTCTTACCTGCTTCTCCCTAGTTCCTAGAGGCCCATGCCATCTAGCTAGGAATTTAACCTCTCTGGTTCTCTTGGACCTTAAATATCTGGTGTGTCTCTTCCCTCCTCAGCATGTTGTCTCAGTTGCCCTCCACACTGCCTCATTTCTGTTCCTGCCCAAGCTTAACTCCTGCTCCCTCTGAGTTCAATATCCTGGACTCTTCTTTTTTTATGTCTTGGAGATTTTAATTCTGATTTGCCCGTGGCAGTTTGGAAATTGCTGCTTTCTCTTAATGAGTCTGGGAAAACCCTCTAGAGATAACCACTGAGATGCAAAGATGGTCCCTTATTATATCACAATATTAGGCAGCTGGGACTTGCTACTACATGACTACCAAGTGCCAGCTATCTCCACCACTTCTGAGTCACCACATTGCTGCAGTCTCACCAGTGACCTGCAGTGTGTCTTTCACTGAGAGAGCAGAAATGAGTTTGGCTATTGCTTGCATACTTCCACATCTACCCTGTAACCTAAAGTTTTTAAATGTTGCATTGATAGAATCACTGTCTCATCTAGCACTCTGTCACCCACAATTTTCAATTATTTTCCTGACTGGGAAGACTCCCTCAAGTTGGAAAAGAAAGCATGTTGGGTCCTGAGGACTCAACAGACCAGTTGGAGTTGCCCAAAGACAGATGACCTAGTAAAATATAATTCAGTTGAGAGAGACTGCCATTAGACCTCATCTTTGTAGCCTTATACTAAAATACTAGAATCTACCTTTGTGTTCCCAATGCTTACTAAGATGGCCCGAGACTCCACCTCCAAGATGGCTAAACCCAGTGGAGGATTTTCTGTTTTTTTCTGTAATGGTTTTATTGCCATAGATCACACATATATACAGTTTATGCATCTAAGGTATACAATGTGGTGGTTTTTAGTATTATCAAAAAGCTATGCAATCGTCAACACAATCCATTTTATCACATTTTAATTACCCTCAGAAGAAACTCTGTATTCATAAACAAAAATTCATAATTTTCCTTCAAACCCTAGCCCCTGGCAATCACTAATCTACTTTCTGTGTATTCTGGACATTTCATATAATGGAATCATAAATGTAGTCCCTTGCGACTGACTTCTTTCCCTTAGCTTAGTGTTTTTAAGGTTCACCCCTATTTTGTAGCATGCATCAGTACTTCATTCCTTTTTTATGGCCAAGTAATATTTTACCATATGGATACACTGTATATTTATCTATCATCTGTTGATAAACATTTGGGTTGTTGGTATGTTTTGGGTATTATGAATAATGCTGGTGTTAACATTCACTTGCATGTTTGTATGGACATATGTTTTTATTTCTCTTGAGTATATACCTAGGAGTAGATAGAATGACCTTTGAATCCATTTAAGACATGCAAACTTTGTGAAACTAACTGAGTTTATCCTTATTGGCACTGTGGACCTTTTGGCCTGATATGAGAAGAGAAACTGCCTTGCATCTGCCAGAAATGCGACTCGGTATTCAGATGGGTGATGTTAAGGTGCCCGTTTGCTTTCTGACACACTCTTGGGTACCTGGAGCCCCATTTTACAAATATTAACAGAACTCAACTTGGCTATCTTTCAACACTCAATTAAGCAGCCATTTAGTCTTATAAGGGTACATTTTATTGTATCATCCTGGAATCATATTATTGAAATAGCCACTGGGATGCAAAGGTCGTCCCTTTGGATACCCACTAACGCAAATTTTATAGTTGGGGAAGCTGAGACTTAGAGTCCATCACAAAGTCCAAAACAGAAAATTAATAACTGAATTCTCATTCATTAGAGAGGGCTGGTTAAACTGTAAGGGCATACTTTGTAGAAAGTATTATTTTTAATTTCTTGGGTGCAATATTAAAATTCCTTATAAAGAAATAGCTAAGTTCTGTGAAACTGAATAGCTAAGGCATGGGACCAGAATCCTCTATGAAGGATGGGAATTGGGTACCTTCTCTGTGCCCATGATTTATCATCGGGTTCTGCTCTAAGTATCAGAGATACAGAATGAATAGGACATCATCTTTGTCTTGATGGAACACAGCTTTTGGTTATTTTCGTTTGACTGCCCAACTGCACTGCTTATAGTCACTAGCACTTACCTCTGTGACCTACTGTAATGTGGTTTAGGAAGTTCGGCTTCTGTACGTTCACTTATAGTTGAGTTGTGAATATGAGTTTTTAGCCCTTACCCTGAATATCAGAGACTGACAGCCACAGGAAAATGAAATTTCCTCAGGCATATAGTTATTTCTTCAACATTTCTATTTCTGATTGAAAAATAGTATATACTAATTACAGATTTTTGAAAAGATAAAAAAATAATTCTGATCACATTCTGATATTCTGTGTACTTATACTTTCTAATCCATCTTCACATCATATAGGAAATAAAAATGAATTGATTTGCTGTAATTGCTAATGCTTAAGAACTTTGTATAAGTTTTCACATTGGAGTAGCAATGAGGAAACATGCTTTTTTAATTCCAAAAAGCATGAAGAGTCTAGACAAACTCCATCTCCAGCTTCAAAAGTATATGTGCATCCTTATGCACATATACACATACACATCCTGGAAGATGTGCCTACCTTTTTAGTACTCTCTGGTAAAGTTTTGTAATTTATTACATCATAAACATTCCTTTCCAAAGTTCTTCTGTGGTATTTTATATTGTTCATTGTTTTTATGACCTTATACTTTTTTACCTCTATATTTTCTAACATCACAGGCTAGCAGTATATGCATGGACTTTTGAGGCCTGACCCCATTTGGAAGTCCTGCTCTGCCATACTCTTTGTGCTGTTTGTTTAAATTGGTAGATGTGTGGTTTATTTTTGTGTGATGAGAAGAGCCATATCTACTTTTTAAGGCTCCACTAATAGTTAAGTGTGATTATTAAATAAGATGATATTCAAGAAGTGTTTAACCACAGTTCCTGGGATATGGTATGTAACAAATGTTAGTGGGATGATTATTTTATAATCTAATAATAGGGTGTTCCTTTTATATCAGAATGCTGTCGATTATTTCTCTTTTTAAAAAATCTGACCAAATTGCTGAACCCCTTAATACTTCTTATGGTTTTTCAGCTCGTTTTAATGAGTTCTCTAAGTAAATAATCATCTGCAATTAATGATGATTTTATCTTTCTCTTTCCAATAGTTACTTATCTTAAGTTTCATATCTTATTGCATTGTCTAGATTTTTAAGAATAATGGTAAATAACGTGGATAGTGTCAACTGGGTCTTGGTCCTGACAGGAATATGAATCTTTTTATTGTTTAATTTTAAAAACCAACATTCTTCAAATACTTATTGCATGTTTCTGTGTGCCAGACAGTGGTCTAGGCAATAGTGATTCAGTAGTTTCCAGCCTTAGAACTCAATTCTAATGGTAGAAATGCATTAATCACATAATTGTGCACACTTAGATAGAATTGCAACTGGTTATAGCAACTGCAAAAGAAGTATATGCATGTGATTGGGGCACTTGGCCTAATTAGAGAAATAATGGAAAACCTCCCTAAAAACTACTATAAAATGTATATATAAAGGATGAATGTATATATAAAAGATGAAGATATATAAAAGATGAAGAATTCGTTAAACAAAGAAGGATTTGGAAGGGGTGGATAGAATTTCCAGCAGAAAGAACATG